AACCACAACTTCCACAACTACACGCCCCGAGCCTTGCAGTCCAGAACTTGTCGCCACAAGAAAACGAGGCCGAAACGTCCAACGTTGGGCCGGGCGTTGATGAATTCAATCGGCAGCCGCGTGACCACGTTTTTGTTTCGCGCCTCCAGAATTTGAGGTGTCAGACCCGCGGCCCAGGTGCCCCTGTCCTGGTGCTTGAGGGTCTCGCTCCACCAGTTTCGAGAGTACCTCGAGAGCTGTCAGATGCTTGTGACTCTCTTAATTGCCTGCATCGCGCCACTTGCTCTAGAACTGCACACTCTTGAATTTCAAAACCACTACCGGACACAACTACAAGACACCTGAACACTGCCTTTGTCCACCTCGACTCGAGGAGGACTCTAGAAAAGCCAGGCCGCACCGAGGTGGAGCGGATCACCATAGAAAAAAACATGAGTTGCAGTGCGTGCACACTCGAGGGTTCTAGAGTTCCCTTCCCAAGCGCCTCCTGACAACTCTCCAAGTGGATTTTCGCGAGTTAAACCCTCGAGAGCAAGTGGAGCGAGGCCAAGCTCACAAACTTTAGTGAGTCTAGAGGAGCAAGTGGAGCGAGGCCAAGCTCACAAACTTTAGTGAGTCTAGAGTAGTGGAGCGAGGCCCTTACGCTACTGAGGTTGGGACGAAGGAATGCTTGTCCGATCCACAGGCGCGTTTGTCTGTTTTTGGCTTGCATTCAAAGGTTTGCGCATTCCACAGTGCTGTGTGGCAAAAGGGGGAGGGAACTATTGAACGGGTTCGCTGCGGAATCTCTCCTCAAAGCTGTCAATTTTCTTAGCATTTCGACTGTGGTGTGGCTTGCCCCAAATTCTCCTCACCACTGTCCGAAGTTTTGGACAGCTACCTCTTCTACAGTTACCCCCCTCTTAGGAACACAGCACCTCCGAAATTGTCAATTGAAGAGGACACGACACGTTTTGAAGCAAAAAGACCATGGGGCTCAACCCTGAGAAGGGGGTATTTGGCCTGACTGAATTCTCTATAGCCCAAAGGGGGTCTTTTGAACGTGGGGCCGAGGCTTACGTGCCCATTTGTGTGAAACACAAAATACGTAGCCGTTGTGACCCAAAAAATCACCTACAATTTACGATTTTATGAAAATGCATGCATGCTACTGTGAGTATGCCCTCAGGCCGGGGAAATGTCGAGTGAGAGTCTGGCACGTGACTTGCGTGTTTTCTGACAGCTAACGAATGCTTCTCAACAGCCTGCCTCTCCACAGTCTGCATGGTGAGGTGAGGGCAACTTTTTTGGGAAAAGTTTTAAAACCTCCCCGCTACGAACCTTTGTATTGGTTTCCCCTCCCAACCCGGGCAAAAAGTGCCGCAGGCCTGGCGTCATTTTTGCACCCCTGTAAAACACTTCGAATTCCGCCAGTTTTGCACAGCGGGCGTTACCCGCCCAGCCAGGGTAGAGAAATGACACGAAAAGTCTTTTGGGGGGCTGTGACACTTTTTTGCCCCATTTGGGGGGAAAAGGATACAAAGGTTTGGTAGCAGGGAGGTTTTATAAGTTTTCCCAACCTTTTTTTGAAAACCCTGTGTTCGACATTGGTGTGGAAAGCACGCACGTTACACAGCCCCTGCCTTCCTAAAATAGAACTGGTCACCTACCTATTTCTCCGAAAAGATTGGGGGCTTTCGTCACGTTCCCAGCCTCTGAAAGTCCCAGAGAGGGGCCTGCGGCTGATGTATGGCAGTATACTGGTGGTTCAACAGATGTCCCAGGCCCAGGCCTAGGGCCCACTTTATTGAGGAGGTTTAATTCCGCTTTCGAGTATCCACGGGTAGCTGCCATCCCATCTGGAAAGCTCGTGTTACCCCATCCCATCTGGAAAGCTCGAGGGCACACTGCGACCACGTTGAGAAATACCCCAAAGGGCCCAAACTAGAACGCACACACACACACACACACAACAAAAAAAAAAAAAAAAAAAAAAAAAAAAAAAAAAAAAAA